GCCCCTGTTCCCGCCTAGAGAGTAACCTAATACTTGCTCACCTCCTACCACCTAGTGACGTCACAGGCTCCTCCATTCCCTAGTCACTACCTCACTCAACCCCGCCTCAGCCCCTACAAACCCCACCCCAGTCTCTATAAAAGACTCTCCCTATCCTGGCCATATTGCTTTTGTCTCTCCTTTGTTCAGAGACAGCCCGGCAGATCTAGTCCCCTAATAAGGGCTTATTGTGGCCTGGTCTGGTCTTGGTTTTCGGCCCTTTTACCTGATGACTTCAAGGAGTTTCTGTTTGCTTCCCCTTGTAGCATAGAGATCATACATTATTGTTTTTATGTGTCAGAATTTCTTTTTTGTTAGAAACTGAGTATTTTCAATAACGTATTGAAGCAATTCATTATATTCCCCTTTCCCCAGAGCTTCTTATTTTTGGTTATTTGTTTAGGGACTGGCTACCTTATTTTAGTGAGGTCTGTTGCCTTTTCCCTTTGCAGTGTTAATACTCTTTTTCTTTTAGGGATGGATTCTTAAGATATAGCCACCATCCTTTTTTTTTTTTTCCATTAATTTTATTGGTACATTTTAGGTATATAGTACAGTTACATTCATCGTTGGGATCCTGTACCTTTACATGACATATCTTGTTTCTTATTCTCTCCCTATTCCCCTGCCCTCCCTTCACCTCCTCTGCCCTTCCCTATTTACAAAGACTTTGTTTCCATTTTTTCCTTTTCTCATATTTTTTCTTTTCCCTTCTTTCATTTCCCCTACACCTTTAGACCTTTTCTTCCTATTTCACATTATCAATTATACATTTTGATCCTTATTTACACTTTTAGTTTTTCACACCAGAGAAACTATTTGGTATTTACACGTGGGTCCTATTTATTTCACTTAAGAGTATGGCCTCAGTGTGCATCCATTTAGCCATAAATGTCTCTAGTTTCTCATTCTTTATAGGTGAGTAGTACTCCATTTTATAAAAAAACAAACACATCTTCTTTATCCAGACTCCAGTTGATGGGCATTTGGTCTGTTTCCAAGTTTTAGCTATTACAAATTGTGCTGCTGTAAACATGGGTGCACATATATCGCTGTGGTATGATTCTTTTAATTCTTTTGGGAAGATACCTAGCAGTGGAATAGCTGGGTCAAATGGGACCTCTAATCCTAGATTTTTGAGATATCTCCATATTGATTGCCACAGTGGTCGCACCAGTCTACACTCCCATCAGCAATGGAGAAGGGTTCCTTTCTTCCCACAACCCCACTAGCATTTTTTTTGTTTTTGTTTTTTTGTTTTTTGGTACTGAGGATGGAACTTGGGTCCTTGTGCTTGCAAAGCAGGCCATGGAACCACTGAGCTAAATCCCCAGCCCTGCACTAGCATTTGTTATTGATTGATTTCTTGATAGCAGTCATTCTTTCTGGGGTGAGATAGCCACTATCCTTTGAATGAGTGTGTGACAAGGCTTTCTTATTCTTTCCCTGACCACACCTAGGTAGCTGTTAATCCCACTGATTGTAGGATGATTGTTTTAGTGTTTTCAGTAATGCCCTGGAGCATAAATTGCTGTGTAGATTAATCCAGTCAAATTCAGACTCTAGAAGGGACAGTTTGAGCTATATAGGTGTGTGTATAAAGAAGAAAGGGAGGGAGGGAGACCGGGCAGACAGAGACAGAAACACACACACACACATACCCACGATCGAGAGAGAGGGACTGACTGACTCTCCAGTGTCCCTTTCCCAGGCTAATTAGACAACCCACAGTTTAGCCTCTATCTCCAATAAACCTACCTGTGCTCTCCCAATTACCTTTTTTATACCAACCTTCACTGTTTTTAAGAGTATTGTTAACCTCCATTCTCTGTTGCAAATGAAGTAATTTCTTTTGGAATGCACTTAGGAGCTGTCTTATGGCCTGTTATTCCCTCTATAAAAGTTCTTTGAACCCATGCTCTGGAGATGGGGTGGTGATAGTGGCATGTTTCTTTATGAATGACACCCCTGCTTTAGCAGCTGAAACCAAGTGGAGAAGGCAAGTAAGTCATACAAGTTTGCTTTTCTGTCAAGAAAGCAGCTCATAGCAAGCAATGTCAAGGACAAATGGGACCCTTAAATACCTGATTGCCCTGTTATCAGTGTGCCCCATTGAAGGTAGAACCTTTGTACCACCAGCTGTGGCTGAGACCAAAAAGTGAGTTCTGCCTCTTGGCCATGTCAGCCAGGTTTTGTATGGAATAGAATCAAAGATACTTTCTGAAATTAAGAAAGTCTTGAGGTTATATATCCAAGAGTATGGAAGGCATGTGGACGTAAAAGCTTGTACATATACTCATAGCAGCATACCTATTCATAGTAGGCAAGAAGTGGAATCCCAAATGTCCATCAACTAATGAATAAACAGAATGAGTTATACAAGAGAATAATATTTGGCAGTTAAAAGGAATGAAATACTAATATGTGCTGTAATGTGGGAAAACCTTGAAAACATGGTAATTGGAAAAGCCAGTCACAAGGGCACTTATTTTGAGGTTGCTTTTATATAAAATTTCCAGTGTGTGGAAATCCATATAGACAGAAAATAGATTGATGGTTGCCTATGGCTAGGTTGTGGGTGTGAAGATGGAATGTGACTGTTTAATGGGTAATTTTCTTTTGGGGAGGAGATGAAAATGGTCTGAACATAGAATATAGTGATTGTTTTATATATTTGTGAATATAGTAAGCGCCATTGAATTCTGTGCTTTAGGTGAATTTTATGTCTAAATTATATGTCAGAGATACTAAAACAAAAGAGAACTTTGTATTTTAAATTTTACAAGATATCTTTTCCATTAACTGTACCAAACTTGCAGAGCTTTTATGATATACATGGTATGAGAGGATCATATTGTATAATCTCAGTCTGAAGTCATGTGTATCTGTGGGTAATATATTGTGATCTAATGTAATTAACTTTTCACGAATTCATACAAGTTTTTAATATTGTCTTGTACATTGATAAATTGCTCTAGGTAGGTCATAAATCTATTGGTAGCTTCGACTTTTGTGATATTTTTATTTCTAGGCTTGTAAGTAAGTTCTACAGTTTCTACGATTTCTCTCTACACTTTTTAAATGGTTCTTTGAAAATGCTGATAATATTAACTTCTGCCATTTCTACATCAGAAACCACTAATTTGGAAAGCTTAGCTTTGTTGAATATATTGCTTTTTAATTCTATCTCTTCAAATATTTTGGCATATTTAGGTTATGTGCCTACATTTAACTTATTTTTTATCCTTCTCTCATATCCCTTGCTTCTCCATGTAATAAAAGAATGTTTCATTGGTGATCTTCTTGTGCTAGATATTTACGATAACTTGTCTCTGAATCTCTTTTTATGTTTCTTACAAGGACATCTTATGCTTTTGTCTTTTCCTGTATTCTAAGGAAAAAAGGGATAGTAATATTTCCTCAAATTTCTTTTAACATGTTAAGTTTTCCAGAAGGTTGCATTCTTTTTGCCCCAGTAAATTGTTTTCACAATAAAATTAGGCACACATATCAAGGAATAATCTGTCTTAACACATATGAGAGGTAAAAATCTGTTGTTTTCCCAAATATTTTTGTCTTTTAGTAAGTTGTAATACTTTAAAAACCATTTAAAAGTAACCTTCTTGGAGAAAAGTTACTTTAAAATGTTTTAAATATTTATACATAACTAAGAAAAGCCTATTCTAAAACCTTTTTTAGAAATTATAAAATTTGCTCAATTATCTAGGAAAACATGAATAGCTTTTATTCCCCAAATAGAATAAATAGATTTAAATATGAATACTAGAATGAATTAATAAATAGATTAAATAGATTTAAATATGATATAGAAACTTGTCATGTGATATATTGGATTATTCCCCCTTCTTTTTCAGGAACTCTTGGTGTAATAACAGAAGCTACAATAAAAATCAGACCAACCCCTGAATACCAAAAGTATGGCTCGGTAGCTTTCCCTAATTTTGAACAAGGAGTAGCCTGTTTAAGAGAAATTGCAAAACAGGTAAAAAAAAAAAAAAAAAAGGAAAAGAAGATACACATATTTATATTTTAAAAATTCTACTGCATAATTGTGATATGTCATAAGTAATCTTCATATTTAGTTGTGTTATATTTTTATGGTTTTTACCCAGTTCTGTATGAAAAGATAGTATTGTAAAATATCATCCCTTTAAGTGCAGTTACAATTTGTTTCAGTAATTATATTGTTATCATACCTAGTTCTTGGTTTAAAGAGGGCTGTATGATTTTAAGCCAAGGTAAAGTATATACTTGGATTGATGGTCATTTGAATGATTCACTTGAGTATTATGTTTCTTAAAGTATTTTTGAATATTTTGTGATTAATTGACATGATATTTATCATAAGACATTTATTGAAATTAGAAGTAATGGCTGATTATCATATGCCCCAGAATTTAGCAGTTAAATATAGGTAATCAAACTTCATTAATTCATAGAATGTACTGCCTGACTTGTGCCTTGTTTTATAATATTATTTAAGCTATTAAGTAATATAGTACAGTAAAGCATATATCACAATATGTTTAGCTGTAAGCTAGAAAGAATTTCCATTTTTTCTTACCTTATTTAAAGAAGTTAGATTATCAGTGTTTTTAAAGAAACTTAATAATGCCATGTAATCTTATTTCTGTATTCAGTTTTTTGTGTTAGTGTGGAATTCCTGTGTTTCTTTAGGCATTTGTTTATTGTTTGACCTGCAGTAGTTGATACATAATTTTTACTGCAATATTTCTCAGCAGGAAGGAAGTTGAGGGAATAATATACTAAGCTCTTTCTTCTTGCTTTTTTTAAACTCCTAGAATTCTTTAATACTTCTTATCCACTATGCTCAGTTAGAATCTTATGGGCAAGGGAGATTTTTGATGTGATCCCTGTAAATCAGCTTCCTGGTTGACATCTAGAGCAGGGTTGAGGGAAACACCCAAGGAGGCAAAGGAAAACTGTTAAGCAAATAGCCCATATTATCTTGGCAGAGTCTTATTTCTCGCCATCCCAAGACAGCCACTATTAATGTTTAAAGAAATTGAAAAAAAAGATTAGATTTACCTATATGTATACTATTTCAAGTGCTCTTTATTGCATATGCTCAATTTTGCTTTTTGTTGTTGTTGTTTTAGTTTTTGGAGACAGCGTATTGCTATGTAGCCCAGGCAGGCCTTGAACTCACGTAATCCTCCTGCCTCAACCTCCCGAGTGCTGGGATTACAAGCATGTGCCACCGTGCCCGGCTTCAGTTTTCCTGAGACGCTTATTCTGTCTTGCAGTTTCCTATTTTTAAGAAGTCTAGGTATATGATCACCTAATTTAACAATTATATTTTATAATTTTCAAGTAGCTTTAGTTATTTATCAGTTAGATTGCTAGACTTGGCAGAGGCCCCTTAATTGCCTGTCTCCTGGGGTAGGGAGAAGATTCAAAAGGACATATGGTCCTGAAGTGAACTGTTCTAGACTTCGTACTTTGGTTATATTACAGCAGAAGTAAATGTTAACAGTAGAAGTCCTTATGTAAGATCTCCTAACTTACTAGAACTTTAGGAGATACTATATTATGACTGTGGAGTTGGCATAGTGAATACTACATCATATTTGCTAGAGTGATAGAAGGCAATAATATTCAAAACAGAATTATTAAAGAAAATGTGGAGATAAGTTCTAGAAGTAAATAATATTTATTATACTAAAATAATGCTTAAGCAGCAAAGTTCAAGTGTACCGATACTTGTTTGTGAAATTTTCCATCACTTAAAGACCAAGGAGATTATAGTAACATCAAGTTTAAGCTATCCTAAGTATTTGGAAGTAAAAAAACCCACGTTTATAGAACCTTATGGTTTTGCGTGTGAGTTAATATCTGGAAGAATGGAAACTAGAGTGTTTACCTAGCATATTGGAGGCCCTTGTTTCATTCTGCAAGACAGACAGACACACACACACACCCAAACAAATGAACAAAAACAAACCCTATACTGGATCTATATCTCAGAATAAATAAAAGTAACAATTGTTAGAAAGTGCCACCTTTGTATACTATAGTTAAAAACAGTTTGGGGCTGGGGAGTTAGCTCAGTGGTTTCGCCGCCTGCTACGCAAGTGCAAGGACCCAAGTTCAATCCCCGGTACCAAAAAAAAAAAAAACAACAGTTTGGTTTTTTGTACTTGGAATGAACAACTTCTGGGCAAATACGGTGGATAAGAAAGCCTGCCTTACTTGATTAAAAATTCAGATAGATAATAGTTTATTCTCAAATATTTCTCTTATTCGTGAAACAGTTGCTAAGAACAGTTATTGTGATTTGAGGATATTACATTATTTTGGGAACCTACATATTTTATTTATAATGTACATGTAGAAAGGCACTAATGTTAAAATGGATGGATGATTTTATACTGCTTTAGGAATATTTGCCTATCAGTTTACAGAATGTACAAATCTTATATGTAAAAAGTGAGACAATTTTTGCTGCTCTTCTTTGTAACAGTATTCTCAGGCAGAAAAAGTAAGAAAATTATTAGATTTTGGCACTAGTCATTGTTCAATTTGGGATTTGGAATTTCAGATGATAGCAGGAGAATTAAGATCCATTAAAATAGATGGTACACGGTTTACGCTTGTGCCAAATTCTTGATTGAATAATGAGTTGGCAGCTTCTAATTCTTCACTGTCACTTCATAGCACTTCCATTTTTGCAATATTTTCAGACTCAACTTGCTTTTGAAATGAGAAACAATTTTGGATGAGTATCTTTTGGAAAGGAGCATGCATGATTGTTCACAAATAGCAAAGTGGGCTCTCTGTATATTTTCATTACTGTTCTTACTGAAGGAAGTAAATTAAGCAACCTTACACTGGCAGCAGAAGAATTCTACTAAGGTCTCTCATCTGATCTTTGTCCATGTGAGGAATTGTCCTCTTTTCAATACTTCACTGCCTTGTGAGGAACTAGAAAGGAAGATTTAGTGGAAGATTAATGTGATTCTTTCTCATAAGTGGCAATCCAGTTTTGCCTCCAACTTTACTCAGTAGATGGGTAAGTGATTTTTAAGATTTCTCAGAGAACAGATTTCCTGTTGTAGCTTCACAAGCTGGGAAAACATGCTGTTTTTAAAATCAGAATATCAGTATCAGATAAATTATTTTATTCCCTTTTATCATTTATCTGGAAATAGCAGTGATGTCTTTACAAAGTTTAAAGGGAAAACGAAATGTTGAAATAAACTCAAAAGCAGTTTTTCAAAGTTTATGGGGTTTTGTTTTTTGCTTTCAATAAAAATTTAAGAGTTATTCCTTTGTGATATTGGGAGATGAGCATTTGTTCTAGAAGGGCAAGAGTATCTATATTTGGGATAGATTAGTCTTGCAAACTGGATCTGTATTTGGGATGGATTGTCTTGCAAACTGTCTTTCTCAGTATCAGAACTAAGCTTTCAGAACTGTAGGTTAAAAGGTAGCTTTTTCTCTCCTTACCTTTTGACAAGAATGGCCTTTTCTACCTTCCATAACATTTATTGTAATCAGTTTTAGACTGTGAGGTTTTTTTTTTTCTAGTAACTTTAGAATGTAATTTTGAATACATAGTTCATGAATTGTTCTGGAAAATTTAATTTATCTTATCCTTCAGGGATTCAAATAAATTGACAGAAGTATTCTTTAACATATACCTTATAAAATAATTAAAACTTTTATATTCAGGAGTAATTCTTGGAAATATTTGTTGCATATAGGAAATGGAATTGTCATTTTAAATCATGTGTGTGTGTGTGTGTGTGTGTGTGTGTGTGTGTTAGATATTTTGCTCTTTCTGAAGCAGAAAAAATAACCCTAGTCAAATGCTTGGTTATTTGGATTCTTTACTATGTGATGCAGCAAAATGAGGACAATTTTAAGATATGCTATCTACCAGAAGCTATTCAGAACAACTTATTTTACCTTTCGTAAGCTGTAAATTATAATTAGGAAGCTGGCCTAACTTTGATCCTTCACTAAATGAAGTGGAAGAAAATAACCACACGTATTATATATTATTTGAATCTTTGAAAACTAAGATGTAATTATCTTTTAAAGAGAAAGTTTTTGTTTACACTATAGACCCCTTAGCTATAAACCAATGTTATTTCCAATATGGCCAGCCAGTGATACCAATAATCTTAAATAGTATGTGATTTTATCTGTTACATCAACTATGATTAATAAGTCAGAGGAAGAATCTGTCTTTAAGATTTAATTTTAAGTTTTAATTTCCAGAAATTTGCATTCAAAAGATTTATCTTTTCGGAACTTCTAAAATTAGTTAATTTTGTCATCATCTCTTGCATGAGTTACTGGGTTCTTAATTTTATAACCCACATAGTGCAATGGATAGTATGCAAGTTAAATAGACATAGTTCCTGTTGTGTAATAATCACTAAGGATACCCACATACTGTGATACATTCTCTTTAAATTTTTATATAGCATTGCACATGAGGTTTAGTTTTGAAGCATTTGCTTCTGATATAATATGAGATAAGTAGACAGTCTACTTTTGGCTCAAGAATTTGGGCTATTTCTAGATTCTACACAGAAAATTTGATTGCCCCTTGAAGAAACAAACTTTTGCAATTCAAAGATGACTCCTTAGCCATGATGCCAGAGATAAAGAACCATTCACTGTTTATACTTTTATATTTTAATCCTTTAGAACTGAGAAATAGTTGAAATCCTGCAGATATTTGTAACATATGTTAATATGGAATTCCTTTTGCCAGTAACTAGCCATTTGAGAGATATCTTCTCAGATAATGTATCGCATTTGAAGTGCTAAGTTCTGATTTTTCTCTGGCAGATAAGAGCCATGATGTGTTCCAGTAAAACAAATTTCACAGAAATCTTTTGATGTATTTCTTATATGGACTGTTTTCTTTAATAAAATAGTTGGATTGAGAAATCTGTTGCTTTTTAAGTTAGTACAGAGAATACTACTAACACTGAGTAAAATAAAACTAATCAAAGTGTTTTTTTATTTTTCAGATTATTATTTAAGTAAATTCCTAACTGTAGCATCCTTAAGGGAATTAAATTGGCAGCAATTTGACTTAGTCATACCCACATTTGAGACCAGTGTGGTTATTCTTTGTTGAATTAAAATAAAGATATTAATATTTATTAATTAGTCTATAAGTCTTTAAAACTTTTCAGACTATTTACTTACTATAAAGTTAACTTATTTACAAGTTAGATGACATGAGAGATTCTAAAGTTTGTAAACAATTTGTGTTAAATTTCTTGAATTTGACATTAATCTACTATTAAAGTACGTTAAAATATTCTCTCCTGTTGTGATCACCTACCAGCAGGGGTCACTTTAACTCAAGGACCTTTTCCCCTTGTCTGGGGAATACAGTAGTCTCAAACCAGTATACTGGAATAGCATGGAAGTGAATTTAGAGCTCCAGTTATTAGAATTTATGCCCTTTCTAACTTTAAAAAGCAATCTTTTGAGTTTTTAAAGCTACTCAATTAGTTTTAGAGCAATAGAAACAACCTAACCTTAACTCTAGATATAACTCTGAGTGTTTATTGAACAATAGTAACAGTATTTTAATCTTTTGATTATAGGAACTTCTGTTTAATTAGTTGCAATGATGACTAGTTCAAGTTCTAAACAAACTTTTTGTCTATTTAGGATGATATATAATGATCTACAAATTGTCAGTTGCCAGAGGATCACAAACTCACCTAGATGTTATTATTCAATTTTATTGCTTTACTTATAAAACTAATTGAAAAACTGCATTTATTAATGTCTGAAAAACCTGGCACTATTAAAATATGAAACTTTGAAGCTCTTGGCTTGAATTTGATAATTTTAAAAAAAAGGTCAATGTTAAAACCAGTTTAATGTTAAAACCAACTTAGTTTAACCACTTTAAAACAAAACAAAACAAAAATCTTTAGTTTCTTTTTAATATTAGTCTCTTATCATCAACTGTGCCATCTCAATATAAATAGTAATGGTATATCAGATGAACTAGTATATATGACTAGTTTGTGAGATTCAGCTGTAAAGTTAAAAATCACAGTTTAATTGAATAATGGTGTCTGTATGGTTTAGCAGATTCCATGAAACGTTCTTATTTTTCTAGTTTTTTAATTTAGAAAGTTTGAGCAAGCAGAACATTTGAAAGAATAGTACAGTGATCACTTTTATATCACCCTGTATATTGAACAATTTTTTATTCTATTCTTTATGTATGTATATATATTTTTTCTAAGCCATTGGAATTCAAGTTGCAGACATCTTGACATTTAACTTCAAAATATTTTAGCATCTATCCCCTAAAAATTAGAAAAGTGTTCTTCTTTATTTGTTTTTGTTTTTGTTTTTTTTTCTTTTGGTACTGGGGATCTAACTCGGGTCCTTTCGCTTGCACAACAGGCGGCAAAACCACTGAGCTAAATCCCCGGCCCTAGTGTTCTTCTTTTTAACTGCAATAACATTATCATTTCTAAGAAACTGCAGTAACTTCTTAATGCTAACCAGTGCTCATTCTGTAATCAAATTATCCCAGTTATCCTCAAAATATATTTTGAGGATAATGTTTACAAACCAAGCTTTAATTAAGACCTGCATATTATATTTCAATTGTTTTAGAGATGAAGTACCAATAGAAACTTACTATACTAAATGAAGAAACGAAACCTGGTGTAATTAGGCTTTGTGTATTCTATTAGAAATTGATGTGCTCATTTTATTTAAAATATTCCAGATTTGTAGATGTGAAAAAAAATTTTTTCTTTTAGTATTTTGGAAATTGGGAACATTTTTAGAAGCCTTATCCAAACTACAAAGATACCTTTATATCAATATTTGAAATTACTCAGGTTGTAAATTTAAACTATTTTACTTTTAATAAGACTACAGAATAATAAGATGATTTTCCTGTAATTTTTGTTTCTCATGTAAATTTAAAGCTATGTACAGTATGTGTCTTAAATAATTTTTTTGGAGGTTGTGTGAGACAATGGAAATGGTGCTCATCTAACAGATATCTTGGTGTTGCTTTTGTCTTTACTGTTTAACAGGGAACAGACCTTGGGCAAATATTTTAACCTTGCTGATTCTTGTGTTTTCATGTGTAAAAGGGGTAATACCAGTTCTGCTACCCTGACAGGGCCGTTTGCTTATATGAAATAAAGACATAGGACAGGAGCTTGGAAAGCATAGGATTCTTTAAAATGTAAAGTTGTGATTAACATGTAGGATAACCTAATACTGTTTCTTGAGGCTTGGCAGTGGCTTTTTAAAAATGAATTATTCTGTCTTTAGAATCAAAGGAGAGTAAATAGCGTAGCCTTCAAAGTTAGAATCATATTTAGTCTTTTTCTTGAGTGAAATAAAATTTGTATTTTTATAAGAAATATTTGTTCAATTAAAAGCAAATGATAATAAAAATGTTTTAATGTATTTAAGGTGTGTATTTTATTTTGAGTGAGTCTCAAATTTGTATTGACATAAGTTTTATTGATAAATATGACAAGATATAAATGTTTAAAAGTTTATGGAATTTGTCAAACTTTTGTGGTCTAAAAGCAACCTCTTGAACAACTTTAGCCATGTTTAAATTTGCATAGAAAATTAAAATCCTGTTTGAGATTCAGCCCACTTTAATTTTATGAAAAAATTGGAGCTAACTTGAACTTTAGCGTTTGTATTGTAGTATTTTATTACCACAAAATTAATATGAGTGCAGGTTGACTATGCCTTGTCCAAAATACTTGGGATGGGAAATGTTTCAGATTTGGGAGTTTTTCAGACTTGGAAATGTTTGCACAGATTTTATCAACTCAGCATCCCTGGTCTGGAAATCCAAAATGTTCCAAAAGTTGAAACATTTTGTGTGGCAAGTCAGTTAAGATATTTGGGATATTGGAGCATTTTAGACTTCAGATTTTTGGATTAGTAATGCTCAACCTGTGTCTGCTTTCCTCAGTTTTTTTTCCTTGCAACTTTTAGCAAGTGCCTAAATAAATACAACAGTGGTGTAGTTTTTGATTCTTCAGATAATCTTATTCTTCACAGTTTTGTTCTGTTTTCATGCAAGTAACCTTGAAAGGACTTAGAAATCTGGACACTCTCTGAATGCTTTTTCTATTTAAAATAGATTGTAAGAAAGAGTAAAAAGAAGGAAAAATTCCTAGAGTTGTCAATAAAGACATTGCAGATAATTTTTAAAGTGCTTTTGGCACATGGACATTTTCACCACCAGTTCCTCATTTTAAATGTATATAAGACCTTAATATAATACTGTTCGTAAATGGTATAATTCTTGAGATTCTGTTATGTATGGAGGCTTTCTCTATACATTTTATAGATGCCACTGATGTTTTATTTGTCTTCATGAAGTTGTATAGAAGGTTAAGATTCTTCTGTAATATTTAGAACTAAGTTCTTGATCTTTTAAGTACAAAAATGACATTTATGTTCTACATGTCTAGGTTCTTACTGTATTTAATGAGTACTGTTATCTTTTCCTTTTTAAAACAGAGATGTGCTCCCGCATCTATCCGCCTCATGGACAACCAGCAGTTTCAGTTTGGTAAGTGTTAAGTGGTGATTTTAGAATCTTCTCATGTACTGAAACTTGCAAAGCTAGAAAGATGAGCACCAAAGTCCTCGCCCTTTGGGATGACCCCATCCAGCAAGGAGAGACAGTTATATAGGTGATGAGCACAGCAGCGCTGGGTGTCTGTGAGAGGCAGCTACACTGGGTACCATTAGCGAAGAAGGATTCATTCTGTTTGGTTTTATTCAAACTAAGGGGTGAAGAGTCCAAAAAAGGCTTTTGAAGGAGGTTTATGGTTTAACTCAATCTTCAAAAGTGAGTTGGAGGTTTGCCAGAGATTGTCTTTTCTCTGCTACCAAATTTATTTGCTTGTCAGCAAAACTGAGAAGTTGTTAGCCACAGTAGCATATTGTACAGTGCTCTGCGTGGGGGTGGGTGCCTCAAATAGAGGGTAAATAAAGGATGTTATATGAGAGAAAGCTGGATGGGCCATTTAGGGCTTTGCAATTTAAGTTTAGAGTTTATCTTGTCAGCAGTGGGGTTTGTTTGTGGAGGGAATGATATCAGTCACCTCTACATTTTAGAAAGTTCATTCTGGCAGTGTCACTGAGGATAGATTAGAAGGATATAGACATGGAAGAGATGCTGGGAGGTGAGGCAGTGTAAGAGGCAAATTTGGGGTATAAACTTACTTTGAGTAAAGAAGTAGTAATGGAGGTAGAGAGCATAGACTTTTTAAAAATTCACTTGACCAACTGGATATGGAAGGTTAAATAAAGGGAAGAGTTGAGGACAACTCCCAGATTTTGATGTGGTTGATTGGATGGATTAAGTAGTAGTATAGAAGTAGAAATGGTGCTCTGGGGGAAAAGATATTACAGTGAGTTATATCTAAAGTGCATTGGGATATTTGGGTGGGGAATTCATTAGGCAGTTGTGTCTCAAAACATTTTTCTTTTTCTATTTTGGCTAAGTTATTCAACTTCTGACACTTATTAATCATGTTTTCAGTTGTATTTTTATTGCTTTCATAAACTTTTCATATGCTGAAATTTACTTTAGAATTTAATTCTATAGAACTTAAATACCCTCAAAACAGTTCCTGAAATTATGGTAATGATTTCTCAGTAAAAGTACTAAAGGCTAAGACAGGAAGATTTTGATTGTCGTATCTAAGAGCAGTTTAGACTTTAATTTAGGGAAAATGATTATAATTATATATAAACTAAGTAAGTCAGATTCATAACATATCCAGAGTTAGTTTTTAAATTAAATTCTTCTAAGTCACAGTTGTTTAGTTCTTTAAGTAAATTACTTTCAAAATGCTATAGTGTTGATAAACAAAAGTTAGAAGTAAATGTGTCCTGTAAATAATGAGATATTTGAATGCAAATCATGCCTTCTGTGTGTTTGGGCCTGCATTCAGGCGTGTAGGTCTTAAGAGTCATGTTATTATTCACATGTCATTGTTGTAGTAAATTACGTTATACACGGCAACATTTGTAAAACTAGCTATAATTTGACCATATTTTATTTATTATATTTATTTATCATTGGCATCTAGTTATAATTGGCTTTCGTTCCTGTTCCGATTCTCATTAGTATACCTAAAAGCATGCTTTCATACTCCCTTCTAGCTCTGTGGTAGGTCCTAGTCTTGATTGTGTTTCCCCTCCCTCTGCCCTTTACTGAGCCACCATTGTCATACAGATCTGATCATGCTTCTTGGTTGACTGTAACCTTTTTCATTCCTAAGTGTCCTTTGAAGCCTTTCCATCAACAAATTATCATCGTGGCTTTATGATCTAGCAACCAAAAGAATAGCGGTTCACAAGGGGTACCAGCACTCTGTAGGTAGCCATATTGCTGATTCATCACTTTGTAAGGTACAGGCTACATTATTAGTTGTTAATATTTTTAATATCTCCACTTCCTCTAGTACAACTGAGATTGAATTCCATCTGTGTGACTCCGAAGCCCAAGACTTTTTCTGTTGTCTCAGAGCACTTCTTTGAAGCATACATACTCACATATAATTAACATACAGTTTCCCTCTCAAACTGTCCAGCTAGTAAATTTGGAAACTAGCTTGCTGTAAAATATAAAACACACTACCTGGAATGTATTTAGACTGTTATTAATTTGATAGCAACATTAATTTAAGAAACATTAAAGGTAATATCCTCTAGCTAATGCAAATGCTTGACCTACTTAAAAACTAGTATCACTCTCACAATAATTTATTCTTCAAAGCTCATGTTGGCTCAATTTTGCCAATATATGTGACTAATTCCCACTAGTAAAAAGGAAATTATGCACATAAATGTCAAAGGGTTATGGTGAACATTTACATGTAAGGATTATTTCATATTACAATAGTAACATTTGGAGTCTTTATGCATTATACAAAGAGATGTAGGTTAGAAGACCTTTGTATGTAGTATAGATAATTTCCATTTTTGCAAGAACACAACACATACTCCACACATTTATATTATTTATTTCCAGCTGTTTTATGTAGATTAGTTCTATTTGGTACAGGAGGTGAATGCTTAGATGATGTATTATTCCTGACTTTATACATGCTAGAAATGGTATCTTTTAAAGCACTGGTTGGGGGCCAGGGATTTAGCTCAGTGGTTCCGCCACCTGCCTCGCAAGCACAAGGTCCTGAGTTCAATCCCTGGTACCAAATAAATAAATAAACCACTGGTTATGCTGGAGAAGCATCTCTGGTAGATTAGAATAGAAAACAAAACCTACAGATCTTTTGTGTTTGATCCAGGAGCTCAAGAAGATTGCTAGATTGATCTCTCTAATCTGCAGTTTGTTTTGTTTGATTGTTGCTTCATTTTTGTGGCTCAGTTATAGCATAAATATCTAACTCTTAGCCTCTGGTTAAGACTTACATTACTTGGTCTTTTATGTAACAGAGCTTCCTTTTATAATCAGCAAAACTGTGGTAAGTAAATACAGATTCAGATTCTCAATTTTGAAAATAGATTGGGGAAAAAAGACTACCAGGAAGTTATTGTTGTAAAAACAGCTTGTTTACTGTTTGCATTTTTTTAAAGGAAGGTCCTAAACTTTAAAAGAAGCAAAATCCCAAAACTTTAAAGCCTTTTTTAAAAATAAACTTTTTATTTGGAGACATTTTAGGTTTACTAAAGACTTTAAAATTCTTTATAAAAATTCTGTATAAATGATAAGCCAGATTTTTCTGAATCAGGCACATAGCACCACAGCCAGATGTGTGACTCTTCAGTGTAACAATCATGGGGATTGAGAAGTTGCTGCTCTCTGGAAACAGTGAGAAAACAGTAAAAGGTTTTCACTCAATTAAGCTTAATCTGCAGGCAAAGATGTTAATTTAACAGACTCTGAAACACCATTTATGTTATTTTGGCAATTTTAACTCTCCGGGAGTGATTAAGGAAGCAATTGCTAGTTTTATGCCAAGAATTCTGGATGAGTTAAGAATTAATTAAGAAACAACCTTAAACTTTGCAACAACTCCATATTTGGTTATAGTTCTGAATGGCTTCTGTATAGTTAAAAAAGAAAGTAAAACTAGCCACCATTGGATGTTCTTATAAAATAAAAATTAATGAAGTAGCTTTATTATGTACAAACTGTATCATTGAAAGATAAACCTCAACTGCATATAGTATTAATTACATATAGTAATTTGAATTAATGAGCTAAGAATAGGTTTTGTAAATAAAAAGTTGTGACTTTTGAAAGAAAAGTATATATATGCCTTTATAAATATATTTAAAAAGTCATAGAACCTTTCACTTTTAGGTTACTAAGTTGAAATAACCTTTTGTTTTTCCAAAAAACAGAATTTGCTAATAATTTAATATGTAAATATTTTCTCTTATAGGTCATGCTCTTAAACCTCAGGTTTCCTCTATTTTTACATCATTTTTGGATGGATTAAAAAAGTTCTATATTACAAAAGTAAGGATTTTTATATGCTAAGATTTTAAATGTTCAGTATACTGTGTTAGTTTTGTTTCTGCCTTCTCAAACTCACCCATTATAAGGATGTTTTTCTGTGTTGCTGCATACATTTTATAATTACTATTTTTTTATGTTAGAGTAATATTTTATCAAGTCAGTCTTGCATTCCATTTTAGAAGTTTCCTTTTTCTGGTTTTGGAGTTTCTAAAAATAATTCTGCATTGAATGGTCTTATGCTTATAACATTTTCTAAGAGTATGGACTTTTTTAAGCCTTTGATTGCTGAATTGCTTTCCTAAAAGGTTATACTAACTTGTACTACATTAGAAAAACAAGTGTGACATTTTTGTTTGTTGTAGCTTTGTTAGTGCATCTGGGGGTTTTTATTTATTTATTTTATTATTATTTTTTGGTACCAGGGAGCAAACTCAGGACCTTGTGCTTGAGAGGCAGGCGGCAGAAACATGGGTTTTTTGTTGTTGTTGTTGTTGCTGTTGTTGTTGTTGTTATTGTTGTTATTGTTTTGCTGTGTTATGCTTTAAATTTAGCTGAGGGAAAATAGCATTTTAGTTTCATTTATGTTTCTTGGAACTCCAGTAAGACTGAACACATCTATATTTTTTATATGTAATTTTTATGTGAAGTAGTTGGATATGGTTATTTTGCCAGGATGGCAGATTCTTGTTTCTTCTTGGTACTTTGGGCACCTTGCTTCTATGGGCCCTTTGACTAATAAAATTATTAGATGCTCATCGTCATAAATTTCGTAAGTAAATGTTTCTAGTCTAATAGGAAGTTTTCTTTTTTAGTGGTAATGTTTCTAATTTTCATCTCTTTTCTTGTGATTATTTGCTTCTAAACTTAGAAAGGTCTCCTTTTCTCCAGGTATGATGAGGGCCATTTGCCTCTCCATCTCTGTTTTGTGTTATATGAAAATTAAATTTTTTTCTGTATTATTATTTAAATGTATTTCAATTTTATAAGAGATAAATATCTAAGTTAATCTTCCCTCCTGCTACCCAATTGCCATCCAGTTGTGTCACCACCATTAACTCTTTCTTCACTTACATTGATTTGCCATGCCTAAGACATCTATGTAGTACTTATCCAAGAAATGCACTCCATTTTAGTGTATCTAATTCTTTTTAATGACCTTTTTGTTCTTGAAAAATTAAATTGATGTAATTGTTGTAAGTCCATTTCCCCCCTCTTGTTATTCAGTTTCCTTGTCATCACCATCACTAACTACCTTTTTATTATTTTAGAAAGTATAAAAGTCCATTAGAGTTGGAATAAGCTAGTATTAATTTGAGCCAGTATTGACAGGTTTATCATAATACTTAGTTTTTGCATTCAGGAGCATGTATCTTTCTTTTCTTAACATGCTTTCATAATGAATTTGTATGTTTAGATTAAGTGACTTCTTTAATATTATGCACAAGATTTCTTTTGAAAAAATATTATTTAGTAAGTTATCATTGCTACATAGGGATATTGTTGGACTTTCCCTCCCATACTCTACTTTCGCCTATCAATTTTGTATTTTTAATTGATTCTTTATTATAATTAAAATTCTGACAAATTATTCCTTGTGTTTGCTTGCCAGTGTCATTATGATTAACACCATAGCATACTTTGAAAGATGTTTTTCCTGTATTGTATAGGTTTGTTACATTGTAATGTCTTGAATAGATGCAGAAAGCATTCTTGTTGATTGACATGTAGAGTTTCAAAGCGCAGTTTTTAAGAAATTGGTGTACTAGAGCTTTGATCAGAGAGAAAAGGAAAAGGTAATTTGATTTGCTACTTTGCAAAATAAAACTTACCTGTAATAATAATGTTTTACTTTTTTTTTTTTTTGTAGTTTAAGGGATTTGATCCAAATCAGCTAAGTGTAGCCACATTATTGTTTGAGGGGGACCGCGAGAAGGTTCTTCAACATGAAAAACAAGTATATGATATTGCTGCAAAATTTGGGTATGGTTTTAAGTTCATAATATCAAGAGAAAATCTAAAATTATGATATCTTTAAACATATATTAATGTACCAGGCATTAATGTCTCCACGTAGTTTGCTTGTCTCCATGCAGTTATTAATTTGAATTTAGTATTAAATTTGTGGTAGTTTATGATAGTAAATTTAAAATATTATTTTGGTTTATTTCTAAAATTTATAGTAAGTTAGATTGATGTATATTGGTCTTGTCTATATATTAGTATATTAAGTATTTTATTGTTTAGGAGATTTTTTTACTAATACCAGTATTGTGATATATGTTATATGTTGTTAGAATAAAATAGGAAAAAATTCATCGTCATGTTATTCTTTAGTGAGAATAGTGTGTGTATAAAACATGCTATTAGAGTGTTTTTAAAAGCAAATTATGTTTAATCCATGATATTTGATTAATTATCTATACTCCACCCCCTGTCACTTACTGTTTTGTCCTGGTATAAAGAAACAGAAAACATTTCACATATATAACCTGCTGAGTAATGACAGGGTGGTTCTTGTCCATCTGCTTGATGGATTATAAGATTGATAGATGAGAACTATAGTGGAAATGCCATTTATCAGGACTACAGTTTTATTTTTTTAAGGACATAAACTGTTTTCTAGATACTAATCATTAACCATCTTTATTTCAGGGGTTAAAGTATATCATATACATTATTCTTAGTGTGAGTTTTCTATGAATACTTACTTCTGCTCTATTCCCTCCCTTTAAAAAAAATAAATCAATTTGGAGCTATGTATTTTTGAGTGCCCCTCTTTTATGTCTCTTTCTTATATACAACTTCTAGGATTGTTTAAATTTAAATATGGTATTCTTAGAATTAATTTTTAGTTCATTTTTGTACTGTTTTGAGTATTAAAAATTAATCAGTTTTATCCTATTCTGAAATTGGCAAGTGTGTTTTAATTTCTTTAATAAATGATAAAGCTTGTTAGTCTTTCACCCTTTCTTTTCCCATAGTACCTTTTTTTGGGAATTACAGTGTTTTAGCTAAATTAGTTTAAAGTAATTATGTTACACAAATACATTTAATGACCGAGTGGCTTGGAATTCAAGTCATCTTTTTCTGTGCAAATTTTTGAAATGTGCATGTTTTCTTTCCCAGAAGGAGTTTAGCACTACATGTACCTATTTTTTAGTTTCTAAGTTATATGAATATGATTAAAAGGCTTTTTTCCTTTCCAAACATGGTACGACTCAGAAGAAAAGTAATTAAGGAGATTTAAGTTGAAATATTTTATATCTGCTCTAGCCTTAAATATTAATGACTGAAACTTTAAAAAAATTTTCCTTATATGTTTAAATATTTAGTTGGGATTTCAGAATTTTCCAGAAGGACTTGAGGTAAATTGGAGAGGACATTTTCTGTAGTGTTTGAATCTCTGAATAGAAGATTAAATTTATTTAGTTTCACCCTCATTCTTCCCCTTTTCCCAGTACACACACACACACACACACACACACAAATAAATAGTTTGGAGCAGCTAGCAAATCATTACTAGTTAGTAATGTGCCATATTTGGTGTTTGACTAGGGTAGGTTGATTATAAAAAATGCCTGTTTGTTCTACCTTATGTGTAATTGTAGAACATGACATATCTCTTCTTGGGGATCACTGGTGATACCTAGAAAAAATACTAGGTGCTAGATTAAATTTTTGTTGAATGAATTAAGCTGAATAATATACTTTTTCCTTATGTCTTTTTTGTATTTCATTTATTCCTATTCTACTACTTGTAAAAAAGGGGATTTAAATCTTTAGATATTTGTCAGTTTTGTTTAATTTGAGCCCCTATGAGTATCAGTAATGCCAGTTTGGTTTTCTTATGTAACTATCCATTCACAACCTAAAAATAAATTTGATTCTTTTCTTTTTTGGTACTGGGGATTGAACTCGGGTCCTTGCGCTTGCACAGCAGCCAACGAAACCACTGAACTAAATCCCCGGCCCCATAAATTTGATTCTTTAAGATATCAGATCCGGCTCTCTTTAGGTACTGACACAAGGCCCCAGAACTGTTGGTTTAATGCTAGCAATTTTGCTTATTTATGTAATTTTATTCATTAAAAATATTTAGTAAATAAGATATCAATTTAGAGCAAAGATAAAGTTAAAAAAAAACTTTGGCCCAGATTGGGGTCCCATTTTGGCTTTTATTTACTCCTTCCTGTTATAATTAATATCTTAACATACTTTAATTTTGTCTTCCTTCATTTAGGTAAGAAAATCTATTTTGAATGACTCAGATTTTCATTAGGAAGATGATTTAGGGCTATTTTGATTTTTTAGCACTTGAAAATACCTTCTTTAGATTTTCTAGCAGAGGTCCTGTTTGCCCCCCAGTTCGCTGTTGACAGTAATAATTTGTGCCAATTATTGAAGACTCAGGGATTTTTCTTTTTTTATATATACTGGGAATCGAACTTAGGACTTTGCGCTTGCCAGGCAGGCGTGGCACCACTGAGCTAAATCCCCGGCCCAGGGATATTTTTCACCTTTTTTGGTACCAGGGATTCAACTCAGGACCTTCCGCTTTCAAGGCAGGTGGCAGAACCACTGAGGTAAATCCCCAGCCCTGTTTTTCTTATATAAAGTGTCACTGCTTGCCCAATCCTGAATCCTCAGTCATTTCTTTTTTTGCTTAACAATTTGGAGGAAGGTACTATAAAGTTTCTTTCTGCTAAAGTTTTCATATGTTAGTTTCTAATGTATTTTATTTTTAGCATTATTAATCTATCTTTTATTTGCTCTTTTTTTTGTTGTTTTACTTCTGTTCCCATTGCTTCAGTAGCTTAAATTGATTGCTTTTAATGAAATACTCTCAAAAGTTCAGTTTTTTTCTGTGTTGCTTTAGCCATTTTTCTCATTGCCTTTCACCCCCCACTCCAACACTCTTCAATACCTTTGAACACATATGACCTAGTAGAACATAGTAGCCAGACACTGAATAATCATACTTGAATCATACATCAGTTGTTTATCTATGTTTGCCAGTAATGCAAGAACTTTGCTAAGAACTGAGCAAACCTGTCAGTGCTCATGACAGGTTTTTTGACATTTACCGTAGAACTGAAGGGAATGTGTTATCATTATTTTTAAAGTATGCTTAAGTTGTTTAACATAATTTAACACCAGAGTGATTAGGTTCACCAGATGGCCCTTTTATATAAAACAATTGTCTCTCATTCCTCTTTCATTAGTCTTCCTAGTTTTTCCTCATAGAATAGCTTTAAATATCAGAACCCTTGTGAATTCATGTTTGCATTAGTGAGGAGAGCAGGAAAAAGGGGATGCATGTTGCCACCTTAAAGCAATTGGAATTTAAATGTTTTTTGGAGTGGCTGCAGAAGTGACAGTTTAGAAGCATTTAATTTCTAAGCCCTGTGATTGTTTACATATTGTAGTTTAAGGTAATTCTAGCTATAAGTCTCACAGCTTAAAAAAGAAAAAAAAAGTTCCAAGAAGCTGAATTTGCAGGAAAACATGATTCCGAAAAGGAAGCCCAGATCCATTCTTTTTCTTTGGGTTTATAAATTTAGAACAGACATCCAGTTGCAGTTTCTTTCTGTGTTAGATTTTTTAAAATGCATATTTCTGTGTTGGTCTCATGGATTTCAGTGCAGCTCCTTCTCTCCCAGATGTTATAACATAACCTAAAAAGCTTGGTCTGGGAGAGGAAAAGGACTGTCTCATCCTGACGTAACAAAGATAGGCTTACTTACTAAATGGTCATACCTGTTAATCCCACTAAATATCATACTGAGCATGCTCCTTTTCAAAGATTCCCAGCATGGGTTTGTTGTTTCCTTTTCTAGGCTTCAGTCACTTTTCCTTTCCTTCTCCTTCTAGGTCCAGGATGAATCATTGCTATTTCCTAATCTGTAGTGGTTTTTTTTCTTATCTCTATTTTATGTATAAGCTGTGGTTTCTGGTGTTTTCCTCCAAGCACTTGCTATAGCAAAATTTTGACTTTTTTTTCAAATGTTGTTACATATTTCCTGCTACCCTTAACCTCACATCCAACCCAGAATTGTTTTTATGTCTCTTCACTCTCAGCAACTTGATCTGAGTTTTTTGCTTGCTTATTAACATTCTATTAATATAGTCTCTTTCATTTTATTTTATTTGTCCTCAAGTAGTTCTAGACTAGGGCTTCTTCTATCAAGTTTTTTCCACTAGTTCTCAATGACAGTATTGTGCACATATCTGTCTGTAGTAGTAAATCAGGAAATTCTGATTCAGTCTTATATGTTCTACCCCGAAATTGCTTTAAAGCATTTGTGTAGAACAAGGGTACATCTATAGTGTATCATTTATTTAATATCAAGTCCAGCAAAACTTCAGAAAAAGAAAGGATTTAATTATGTCAAATGAGGCCATAAGAGAAATTATTCCTTTTTTTTTTTTTTTGTACTGGGGATCAAACTCAGGACCTTGCGCTTGCGAGGCAGGCATGGTGCCACTGGGCTAACTTCCTGGCCCTAATTCCTTGTTTAGTTGACTAAAACAAGTTAAAAAAGAGTAGTTAATAACTATTTACTAAAGATAGTGAAAAGCAGTATTCATTTGTTGTCTTTTAAAATAAAAATAACTTTCGTAAACTAGAGTACATGGACTGAATTATATGTTACATGGGGTTGGTTCTAACTAAATCATTAAGTATGATTTCTTTGGGAAAAAAACTACTTTCACATTGAAACAATTTATATATATGATAAAAACAAAACCTGACCTGTGCTCACTTTGCCAGCACATAAACTGAAACAAAACCTGACCTTTCACTTCTCTATACATTGCTTTTTTAACTTTAATATTTTTGTATATGTTTTGTCTTCTCATTTAAATAATAAATTCCATAAAATAAACACATATAATATGTCAAATATTATATATTTAAGTGTTCAAGAAACTTCCTGGTCTTTGGGACTTTATAGCTAATTATCCCAGTCCTCTACATATGAATAAGACTATAATGATATGAACATATGAATAAAATATAGCCCAGGTTGAGTATCCCTTATCTGAAATATTTGGGACCAGAAGTGTTTCAAATTTTAGTTTTTCAGAATTTGGAATATTGACGTAGACATAATAAGATATCTTAAGAATGGGCTCCAAGTGTAAGTACAATTTATTTATGCATCATAGATACTGTATATGGATAGCCTGAAGATAATTTTATTCAATATTTTTAGTGCACCAGCACTTTAACTTGGACCCATCACATGAGGTCAAGTATAGAATTTTCCACAGTGGCATCCTATGGACACAAAAAGTTTTGGGTTTTGGAGCATTTTGGATTTTCAGATTAGGGTTCCTCAACTTATATGAATAAAATAAGAATATTTTTAAGTATTTTGTTATGTGTTTGAATAGTAAGTTTATTTAAGCTTGTTTTTCATGACTAATTCTCTGCTATTTTGACAATATGAGAAGTAGTTGACATGAATCAGTTTTATTACCGTGGTAATGAAAGTTTGAAATTAATAACTAGACTGAAATATTAAAAATGTTTTCCAAGCTTGTTCTCTTGATAGCTTTTTGATCAAAATGAGAGTAAGGTAAAAATGAAATGCAGTGTTTGTTAATCTGTTAAGCAGTTATTTTGAAGTATATCAGTCTGGTTAGTTTTACATATTTTAAATAGTTCATTTAAAACATATTAACTTCTTTATAAATTACAGTGGATTAGCAGCTGGGGAAGATAATGGACAGAGAGGTTATTTGCTGACCTATGTCATTGCATACATGCGAGTAAGTTAATATTTCTCTCGTCATTTTCTTATGTCATGAATAATACTTCTTCCTACTTTGTGTAAATAAAACTATTTTTTATTTTCTTAAAACATTTAATCTACTATAATTTAGCACATCATTTTACAGGTATTCTGGATTAGCTTCAGAAGCCCATTTAAACTTTCTATGTATACTTTTTTTTTTTTAAGTTTTTTTTGAGATAGGGGATACCCTCTAGTTCAGGACAGCCTAGAACTCACTAGATAGCCCAGGCTGGCTTCATACTCATGACAGTCCTCCTGCCTCAGCCTCCTGAGTGTTGAGATTACAGGTGTCCACCACAACACCCAGCTCTACATAGGCTTTTGAGTAACTTAAATATGATTTAATGTCTTTCTGCTTTTCAAAATAATGGAGGCATTCTCCGAAAGTTGAACTTTCCCTTTTAAACATTAATTGGTTAGAACCAATTTGGTAACATTTCTTAAGTTATAAATTGTTTATATATATAAACTATGTATATATATACACATATGTATACATATATAAACTGTCTTATATATATAAACTATGTCTTAAAAATTGATATTAACTTGTTACTGTTATTAGTTCATTAGTGATTATTATGTAGAAATAATTTATATTTGAGTGCTAAAATTTTTCTAATTATAGATTTTCTACTTATGAGAAATTTCATTAGTCATATTTATTTCAACTTAGCTATACTTATATTTTTTTGCACTTTTATTCCTTCATTTATTTAGTTTTCGTGCCTTGACTATAACAAATTCAGATTTTTAAAAGTCTTTTTTTGTTGTTACTTGCTTACTTCTTTTCCCCCCATATTGGCTGGTGTGTAATTTAAATTACCTTATTCGAAAAAGTCATTTCTCAGATATCCTACTGAGAATTTGGCTTTCCTTTATTCCCCCTATTTTCTACTTCCTGTTCCTTTCATCTTAATGACCAGTTTTTATATTGGTTTTGTGTTTGTGTTTGTTTTGAGACAGCATCTTGCTACATAGTTGAGGCTGGCCTTGAACTCTGTGTAGCACCAGCTGGCCTTGAACTCGTGGCAATCTTCCTGTCTCAGCCTTCAGAGTGCTGGGATTACAGGTGTGTAACACCATGCCTGAAAATACTTTTTTTTTTTAAAAGCAATACTGGGGATTGAACCCTGGGCCTTTACACTGAGCTTTGTCCTCAGCCCTTTTTTTTTTTCTTTTATTTTTTTGTTACCGGGGATTGAACTCGGGACCTTGCACTTGCAAGGCAGGCGGTGGCACCACTGAGCTAAATCCCTGACCCTGTTTCATTTTGAGGCAGTGTCAGTAAGTGGCTAAATTGCCCAGACTGGGCTCGAACATGTGCTCCTTCAGCCTCAAACCTCCCGGAGTGCTGGGATTATGGAGGCGCCACCACACCTGCAGTTTATTTGTTATTTAAGTTACTAAAAATCTATTCTGCTAGTCTTCTCCATATGTACATAGACATTTCCTAGAGAGAGATGCCATTCCCTGAAGAAATATTTAAGGTCCTATTCTGTGTCAGGCACTCTGTTAGCTACCAAAGATACAGAAAGAAGCAAAAGTTCCTGTTCTCTAAGAGGTTCTACCTCACTCTCAGGGAAAACTTTTAGTACTCTTAGGAGACAGATAGTAGAGAACAGTTGAGATTAAAGTACTAACTTTAACTAATACTGACAATTACCTGAAATACTAATAATATTTTTTATTATTTCATATGTTGTAGTTTTTGTTATTTTTGTGTGTCTTAACAGGACTTGGGTTTGGAGTACTACATAATAGGAGAATCTTTTGAGACTTCTGCTCCTTGGGACAGGTAAAATATAATAAAATGCCTAGTATTCAAATATGCATTATGAATTGCTGAATTAATGTGTCTCTATGTGTGAGTGTGTAAAATTTAAAAAATTTTATGAAGAAACTTTGAAACAAGATACGTACTTTTATTTAACAACCCCGGGCCAGGGATTTAGCTCAGTGGTTCTGGCACCTGCCTCACAAGCGCAAGGTCCCGAGTTCGATCCCCGGTACCAAAAAAAAAAAACCAAAACAATGCCTTCTCCAGATTGCCACGTTTTAAGCCCCACTCCTTTTGGGTGAGAAACAAATTTGTGATCCCAAAGATGAAGATATTACTGAAGTTTACATTTTTGACAAGTCTTACTGAATACTAAACCACTGTGTGGTTCTACCTAGCTTTGATTTAAATTAAGTGATTGATAATACTTCAGTGTTCTGTAGAAATTCCTGTCAAATTATACAATTGATTAGTCTTATTTTGTAATACATACTTAGCTTTTGATATTTCTATGTGTATATATGTTAAGCAAGATCTTAACTTTGAATGTAAGTAATTTTCTGAAAGAAATCTTAATTTAAGAAACGCAGTGTAATTTTTATTTTTGAATTTAAGCAAAACTATAATGCAGTACTGGAGGATTTTATAAGAATTGGCTGGCAGGGGTAAATGGAAATAAATGTCTCGGTTTCTTCACAGGAAACTGACACACTGACACACAGACACACACACACAGACACACATGCAAGTATTAGTTGGGAAATTAATAATAAAACGTGATTAGGAAATGTGAAGTAGTTTTACTAAAAATGTACTTGGAATTACTCATTCAGTTATAAAAAGCTTTTGAAGGAGATTGTCAGTGCGTTTTTATTTTCTTACAGTATGCCTATATTTTTCCTTATAGAATTTACAAAGTATTTTAAATATACAATAAAGTATTTCACCTTTAACAAATCCTCCATGAATTTCACGTTTAGACATTACATATCTTAACATTTTGTTCTCTCCCAATATTTCTGTTTTGGCTTTTGGGGTATTTTTGTTTCCCTAGAAAAGTTTTTAAAAATTGTATTTATCTATGGTAGGTATGTTTTTTGGCACATTGGTACTCATATTCCATGTATTGTTAGATAATTACCCAGTTTATACTATCATTGTTTTCACAATTTTTGGTGCTCATTTTTAACAAGGGGACTAAATCTTACGAATAAAAGAATACCAACTATTGACATCTAATACTTTTGAGCAGCAAAAATTATTTGGCAACTCTTCTTGTGGTGTCAAAGGCAATTTTAGTCTTTAATGCTTGGTATCTTAGTTTGGGCTGTTACATTAAATATCACAGACAGAAAGTCTTACTTCTTTCTCAGAGTTCTGGAGGCTTGAAGTCCAAGATCAGAGTGCCAGCATGCAGGCCGTCTTCCTCATTTGTATATGTCCACCTTCTCATTTTAGCCTCACATTGTGGAAAGCAGAGAGAAAGCAAGCCCTCTCATGTCTTCAAAGGGCACAGATGCCATTCTTGAGAGCTCCAGCCTCGTGCCCTAATTGCCTCCTAAAGGCCCCACCTCCTAATGCTGTCTGTCACATTAGGGGTTAGGGTTTCAATATATGAATTTAGGGGCAGGCAAACATTCAGTCTTTATCACTAGAGAAAGTGGGTTAATACCATGTTTCTTAAACATTATAAATTGCCTTGTCATCAGATAATATTGACTGGTGATTGCTTTCTTACCTTTTTATTCTCCTAATCACAGAAGCTAATCATGTGCTGTCTTTTTATTTTTGTTCATCCATTCCCATACATATTTACATGTTTACTTAACTGATTGATAATTTCTATTTTATACAGAGTTAGATATTTGGGTTGTTTTAATGTAAAGCAATTTCTTTACTTGAAGTTTTAATAAATAGCATTAATGGAACACAGCTACATTTTTTAAAATGAAAAATGTACTGTTCGCAGTTTAGCATCTTGCTTTGGTTTTTGACTTTTAGCTAGCTAGTGACCATCTTCTGCAATAACCTGAAGTACCAGGATCTTCAACTTAACACATTATTGGGTCATTGGCCTCTTCATGCAAAAGCCATGTGAGGAGTTAATCTATGTGACTAATCTTTGTGTATTTCATAGTGGCTCCAGGACAACGATTGCACCTATTAGGTGCTCAGTGAATATTCTGCATAGAGTCCTGTGAATGAACTCTAGAGTAGTGAGAAACTGCAGCCTAGAAAAATAGCTGTGCTACTGAGTTGGAGATTGTAAGTTTTAGAGTTAACAGTAGGAGTCTTGGGATTAAAACTCAGGAAGTGGATACAAATACTTACAGACAGTTGGAATGAAGGGGAAAATAAGAAGGCTTGTGAAAGAAGTCCCCAGAACCTCAACATATATGGGATAGTCATACAAACAAAAGCTGCAAGTAAGATTTGAGGAGTGAGTTTTAGGGGATTTGGGGGAAATCCAGAGAAAACAAAAGCCTAGGAAAGATTTTTTCAAGGAAGAAATGATGAACAGTGCTAAATTCACTAGTATCTTAAGTAAGAATTTAAAAGCGTACACAGTTATGTTTATGTCCTGTAAAATGATTATCCCAATGGGCTATATTGAACTTCATTCAAGTTTTGAGAGAGAACACTTTCAGAACACTGCTCCCTACAAATCTTTATAGAAAGTATCTCATTGGGGATTATAAGCTGTCCTGTTCCTTCTGCCATCTCCCCTTCATTATTCATCTACCAATGAGGGTTTAGATACAATCTGTTCTTAACATGCCTGTGTTTCCTTTTGCATTTGTGATGAATAAATACATTAAAATGCATTTAAACTGAAACCTAGTCCACCCAACATTTTAACTTCCAAAGGACTATACAAGCACATCAGTTGGATTAGTATCTTTAGACTACTTAGTGATAGCACTTAAATTTCATTTTCTAGAGCCAAGATAAAGAACTTGAAAATTTGTGTATTCTTAGTTGTAAGAATTTCAGACTTGAAGGATGCCAAATAAACCAGCACTTGTTAAAATTCGTGTAGTTGTCATTTGAAAACTTAACACTGTATTCAATTATCTTTTTTAGGGTTGTAGATCTCTGTAGAAATGTAAAAGAAAGAATAAGAAGGGAATGCAAAGAGAAAGGTGTTCAGTTTGCTCCTCTTTCTACATGCAGGTGAGTTTTATTGTTTTAATTAATAGTCCTTATTCTGAAAAACTTTTTTGGTCAATGGGGAAATATAATATGCCAGCTGAGGACAAGCTTCAGTCTACTTCACTTGGCAAGCTTTGCTGAGCTCCACACACCACCTTGTTAGGACTGTGCCACTAGGACCCTTAGGAGTGGAGCACCTCTCCGTGAGTGAGCCTTCTGCTGTGTATGGACAGTGTGCAGTGAAGAGCAGAGTGCCTGAGCTCCTGTAAAAGTGAAGGACTCCTTCGTTCACTGAAACGGTAAATGACATGTGTAATCAAGAAACTATAAATTATGTTTAGTCAGCACTGCTCTTTATGAGAGAAAAAACACTTTGCTGATTAAGTGAATAGGAGTGGAATAAAGGAATGAGAGGAGCAGAAGACTCAGGATGATTAACTCAGGGCTTTCCAATAGATCTTTCTTTGATAATGGAAATATTCTGTATTGGTAGTGTCTGGTACGGTAGCCACAAGCCCCCTGTAGCTACTAAGAGGTTGAAATATGATTATGTGACTGAGGAACTGAATTTTAAATTTTACTCAATTTAAAAAATTAATTTAAATTTAAAATTCCAGGTATGCGAGTTCAATCCTCAGTACAAAAAAAAAAACCAAAAACCCTCTATGTATGGCTAGTATCTTCCTTACTAAACAGTGCCTGGCTAACTGATGGTCTTGTCCTCCTTGTTAAATAGCAGCAGCCCAAAAAGAGGTTTTCTGGAGATGGGATACTTTGTATTCAATCTTTTAATATTAATTTTTTTTAAATACCAGGCTATTAAGTGCATAAAGATTAAGTCTTTATGATGTGATTCTCTAGAAAGTTACAAAATTAATTGGAAAGGAGGATAAATGGAAATCAAAACTGATCATGGGAAGGTGAACCTTAAAATAAATGTAGCAACCTAGAATTTTATGTTGTACAGCAGCCTCACTTTTTCCTCTTCTGTTTGTGTGTAGGGGAAGGTTCAGACACATTATTTACTATATAAAAATGAATAAGAGTTAAGTAGTGTTACAAACAGTATATTTTTCTGTATGCCTGACTACCCTGACTTACAATAGCTTAATTTAGGATTTCTTTTTTAACTTTACCCTGGTACAAAAACATACCCCTGCATCCATTCTGTTTTTCAGTACAGTATTCAATAAGCTACATGAGATTTCAACACTTTATTATAAAACAGATGTTTTGTTGGATCATTTTGCCCAACTGTAGGCTGATGTGTCTGGGCATGTTTAAGGGCGTGGTTTTTTTTTTTTGAAAAATATTTATTTCTCACTTGATGAAAGGAACATTCCTTAGCAATACAGTTTTTATGTCCTCTGACATTACATTTAAAATTCTCATAGTGGACTCTGCAGAACTGACATTATACCAGATCTAATATTAATCCAGAACAACTTGTTACCATTAAAATTTTAAACATTTAAAATAGTAGGATAGAATTAATTCTTGTGTAGTTGATGAATTTTATTCCATGTTTTGTCAAGTAGCAGCTGAACTAATTTTATCTCCCTCCTTTCTCCCCAACTTCCTAGTCGTGATTTCCCAAGAACCTCCCTATCCCTCATTATGAAAGTAGAATAAACAACTACTTATTTAAAATGATTGAGAAGTAAAATATTCTTCCTTGGAGCACACTCTATAATGAAACTTAAATCTTACTTTTTTAGAAGATATTCATGAGGCCTAAGAACCTTCGTTAAATATTGTAGCTATTAGATGGAATTTAGACAGAATTGGGCATATGCTATGTTTATTATTTTCTTATATATTCCATTTCATGATTATCTTATAAAAACCAGTTTAGAATAGCCAAAATCCAATTATTTGAATAACTTTGATAAGAGTTTTGAATGTAGTTCTTACTCTCACACTTAATGATTAACATTTAAGTAGTTTAATTTTAATTTAGTTTGATTTAAACCGCTTAATAGAGGCCAAGAAGAGCATTCTATGTTAAATGAAAAGATGTATTCTGGGGCTGGGAATTTAGCTGAGTGGTGCCGCCACCTGCCTTGCAACCACAAGGTCCTGAGTTCAATCTCTGGTACCAAAAAAAATGTATTTTTAAGCTAGTTTTTAAAACTATTCCAAAATTATTTTAAAATAATTATAGCTCTAATGAAAGTCAAAGATTCCAAGAAAATAATTCAGATATGGGTTGTATTTATTGAGTTCATTTATTTTATTTATATTTTTTAAAAGGTACTTTGTACATTGGAATAGAAATTTCTACCTTTACTTTTCTAAAAAAAGTTGTATAGAAAGGCGTTCTTAGTAAATCTGACACAGGAAGACACTCCAAAAAATGTAGAGCATAAAAATTTAGTAAAGAATAGTGCAGTGACTGACAATGACATAATTACTTCTCCAGATGATTTTGAGTATCTTAAGTGATAGAATTAATAGAATAAAATTTAAAATAGCATGAGCCTATTTTAAAAGGTGTTAGATCTGAGTAACTTTCTGAAATGGACACAAGTTGAGGTTTTCCAAAGGATCTTTTTAGTCATTTCAATTTTATATTTGTTTGAGTTACTGGTCAGCTAGACCCATCATGCTTTGTTGTGACTTTAGTAATATCTATGAAAACTGAATTGTGTAATACACAGTCCTGAATTTGTTGGAAAGTGGCAATGTTCTATTAATAGTTACATTTTCTACGTATTGTTATTAATAATTCTCTTTATGAGTGATATATGTTTTTCTAATTGCTATAAGTTCATTTTATTTATTTATCCTTCAACTTTTATTCAGATTTGATTATTCCTAATGATAATGTCCTTATAGTTAAAATGCTTCTCCAGTTTTTCTTAATCTTTGTAAATCTGGAACTTCAAATGTAAACATTTGAGGGATCTTTTTTACAAGTGTGAATTAGCACAAGAAGAAAAACACAGCTGGCAAATCGACAGTAGCATTGTTAAATTAACAGTTCATTTCTTCTGTTCTGAGGCACCTAACATTTGCCCTAAAAGGCCATTAAAATTTTAGATTAGATTCTATTTCTGTTGTGTAGTAAAGAGAGTATTTCTTCTGTATTTGCTCCTTCTGTTAAATTAAATTCTTTGTGGGAACTCCATCAATTGCATTTGGAGATTTGACCATGATTATCTGAGGTCCTTTTTAAGTGCTTTCTTAATTACAATTTGAAGGCACATTATCTCATACATATAATTAAATAATCTAACATTCTTGATCTCTTTTGTATATATGCACAAAATATGTACATATGAGATAGACACTATTTTAAGGTCATATGACTGTATTTAATATGATCATTTAATTTGTTTTTCACATCCTTATCACTTAGTAATGTAAACTGGATGACGATGCTATTTTTCACTTAGTCTAATCCTATTTAGTATTTGAACACTGCTCCCATTTCTGAGCTTTAAGTTCTCATACTTATCTCCACTGACTTTGAGGAAGGTTGAGAGACTTGTAGCTGATCACCAAGTTCCATCTAATCTGTTTGAGGACTATCTTTAATAGCGGTATACTTAGTTTGTTTTTTAAATCTCTACTGAGGGAAATGGAGTTTTTGTTCATTTCAGATAATTGAGGAAATATTTACATAGCTTTTGCATTTTTAATTTTGAGGAGGATAATCTAGATTTACAAAAAGGTCCCTAAATTACAGATAGTTCCTATATACCCTTCACGTATCTTCCCCAGACGTTAATATCTAACATAATTATAGTGTAATTATTAAAACCAAAAAGTTAGTGTTGTTAGAATACTGTTAACTAATCTGCAGACTTCTCTTTACCATTTTTCCTTCTGATGTCTTTTTTTCGGGCTTAGGGTCCCATCTGGGCTTGCATAATGTGTTTAATTCTCATGTCTCTTCAGTCTTCTTTAATCTGGAGTAACTCCTTGCTCATTCCTTACTTTCCATTCCATCACACTTTTGAAGAACACTGGCCAGTAATTTTGTAAAATATCACTCACTTTCAACTTGTCTGATACTTCCTTGTGTTGAAATTCAAGTTACAGATTTTGACAAGAATACCACAGAAGTAATGCACTAGCCCTGGTGCATTATATTAGGAGGAGGAGCATGACATCGAGACACCTCATTATTGGTGAATTGAACTTTGAACACTTGGTAAAGTGGTGCCTGTCTGGCTTCACAATGCTAAGCTTACTATTTTCTACCCATTTTATTTAATAAATATCTTATGGGGAGAAACTTTGAGACTGTGCAAATATTCTATTTCTGATACTGTCTACTAATCATTAAGCTCCATTAATAATTCTTGATCACAGCAGTTATTATTGTGATATTTGGAAATAGTGATTTTTGTTTTTGTTGTTCCTTTTTTCTTTTATCAACTGAAATTCCTGGTAAGGAAGCACTGACCTTCCTCTCACTTTCCATCAGTATGGCCTCACAGATATTTTTCCTCTCTGGGTTATGTCCATTATTGTCATTATTCTCTTTAGTGTTCAAATTCTCCCAGATTTGGCCATCTGTAAATTGGCATCTGAGTCCTCTTGACAAGGGAAAGTAGATTTTGAAGAGGAGTCAAAAAGGGTGCTCAATGGTTTCTCCGCCTGCTGCGCAAGAGCAAGGACCCAAGTTCAATCCCTGGTACCAAAAAAAAAAAAAAAGGGTGCTCAAGCGCAAGGTCCCGAGTTTGATCCCAAGTACCAAAAAAAAAGGGTGCTCGTGCTTGGGAAAGGTCAGTAATTGAGGCACGGCATGTAGCATAAGATATGAGTTCTAGGGCCAGGGATTTAGCTCAGTGGCACTGCGCCTGCCTCGCAAACACAAGGTCCTGAGTTCTATCCCCAGTATCCCCCCAAAAAAGTACGAGTTCCAGGGTGGGAAAAAAGCAAATCTGTGTGCCACTAAAGGTCTGTGAGCTGTAGAATTGCTTCTAAATGAAGATGCATCTCACCTATCTCACATGCTATCCCAGCAATGATAGCCATTGCTCACTATTGCTCCTTTGATACTGGCTTCATCCTCATATTCTTTGGTTTTTCTTATTCCTGGTGTTTGAATTTTGATGACTTTCAACTCACCTTTCCCTATTCTGGTCTCTCTATCTTTCGCCCATTTGCTTCCTATGCTTCTGGATGTCTGGTTTTTTACTCTCCTATGTTATCTCCTGGTTAATTTATCTTGAAATGTGGCATTTTTCTTACCTAGCACAGTATCTTTTATCTTCTGTCAGTCTTCATTCAGGCATATTTTTCTAGGCACCTTTCCCAACCTGACCCACTCAGATTTTCTTATTCTTTGTGTTTTGATAACCTCAGCATTTTCACTGATTTTCAAGCTACATTTGAACTATTGATGCTGCCTGTCTTTAATGCATCATCAGACAGTTTATCATACCTAGCCCAGGATTATCAACATTCTTCTCTCCTATTACTCTATACCCTGAGGTTAGATCATATATTGACTATAGAGCGCTTAGAAGAGTTTCTCCTAGTGCATTTAAATTATCCAGGTTGAAAAAAATGTTACTGATATTTATTTTACTTATTTATTAAATTATAACCAGGAGTAAACAGCCCCTACCCCTGCCCCCACCACCTATACTCTCAACTTCAGTGGTTTACCTTTTTCTGACCAGAATCTTTTAAGTCTTTTGAGCCATGAACTCAAAACAAATGACAAGCTGTTGTCAGAGCCACTTAATGTATTTTCAGGAAGTTGTCACTTGCCTTCATTTTGTCAAAATAGATTTTTAAAATAATGAAAATTGCTTTTGGTCAGTGTTTGTATGCCTGTATATATTACAGCATTTCATGTTTCTGTCTCAGCAAGGATGGGGCCAGTGAACAGAACAAGTTTCCTGTTTCTCATCTAACCTTATCTTTCTCAAGGAGCAAGCATTTTATACCATGTCTGTCTGCTGTGTCAGTACAAAATACAATCAACATTTGCACATGTGGACTCGTCTGATCTTTTGGCAGGAAAATATGCTTTCAAAAAATAACAGCTATACTATTTGTAATATGGATTGTCCTCAAGTACTGTTTTAATATAGTCACAAGAAGGCTAATTGTATATAAAATTAAATACAGGAAAGAGAAAAAAGTTACAGTATTACTTTTTTCAAGCTATATGCACTTTGAAGTGTCATGTTTTTAAGTTATTTTGATTATGTATTTTAAAACAACTGATACCAATACTTACCTGGCTATACTTTAAATATGTTTTCGCACATAGCACCCACTACCTCTCGATAATGAAACAACTTCAATAAGATCACTCAAAATGGCCTCTTATCAGAATACTGATAAACTTTTTGTTATATTTAAGTTTTAGTAATACAACACTGACAAGAGAAAGATTTTAAAGGGATGCTTATAATATTACCACTTTAAGTTGCCATTTAATAGAAATAGAATCCTTTTATTTTCTGCAGCATTCTTAGTTTACCTGTTTTAAGCAACAACTCTAAAGAGAGACACTCTGCATTTCTTCTTTGTAGTAGGCGGGGCTAGAGAATAAGACTGTATCTTAAGTTAATCAATCAGGTGTTCTTGCCTTTCAAGATGTTTCTAGATGTTAAATCAGTTTTCACTTTAATGTAAAGCCCTGGTGGGGATTTTGTCTGTTTGTTTTTCAGGGTGACGCAGACTTATGATGCAGGTGCATGTATCTACTTCTATTTTGCCTTCAACTACAGGGGAATTAGTGACCCACTGGCTGTGTTTGAGCAAACTGAGGTAATTTTGCACACATGCATGTAACTTTCATATTCTTTTATTAATTTAAATAAATTTTAGTATTGTTTTATGAATTTCAGTTTGACCCTTTAGTCACACATGGTTTATCTGGCTGCTAAGTCATAGAAATGAAAAGTATATTTGTTATACTAGATTATGTACTGAATTGTGAGTCTAAAAATTAATGTTCTATATACCTGTAGTGTGTGATTGTTTGGTTGTTCCTTATATAATAGCTGATTTACTTATATAACAATAGGAATTCTAGTGACTATTGGGATCTTTGGTATCACTTTGGCAGCCTACCCATTTCCAGGTGGTGGCTGCTGTTGAGATCAGCAGCCCTCATGCTCTTGGTATATGTTGTTATAATATCACCATTCTAGGTTTGTATGTTCTATAAAAGTATACATAGGCCATTAGCACTCATTTGCTGACAGTTTCTATTATATTTCTTAAGTGCCCTTAAGCTGCTAGGGTTTTTGGGGGGGGGGGCGGGCACAGAGTTGGTACCAGGGATTGAACCCAAGGCCTTCAGACTGAACTGGATTCCCACAACTTGTATTTTTTTATTTTGAGACAGGGTCTTAATTGCAAAATTGTGCAGGCTGGGCTAGAACTTGGAGTCCTGCCTCAACCTCCAGAGTGCTGGGGGTTGCAGGCATGTGCTAGCATGCTCAGCTAAGTTGCTAATTCTTATAAAGTCTTCTGTTGATTGGCAGTATTTCTCATTGCAAGTGTGTATAGAGCAGAAGTAACAGATGAAACTCTGGAGGAACTTGTAGCAAACAGATTTCTTTTTTTTGGAAACATTTCTTGGGATGTCAGGTGCCCTACTGTTTTAACTCCATTATGTGCCTTCCTAAATAGTACCTATAAGATAATTTCAGTGGACAGCATACTTTTAGGCCCAAACTATAGTTAGAACTTGGTTGGCTCCCCCTTAACCCTGTCCTCTTCTTTGTCTTTTTTTTTTTCTTTTTCAGCTTTTTTCGAAGTATAATTGAAATACAATAAATGTTACATATTTAAAATGTATAACCTGCTGAATTTTGACATATATATACCTGTGAAACCATCACCTGAATCAAAATAATCTATTCTTATTCCCCTAGCTCTTTAGTGCTTTGGTGATGGTATCAAAGGTCCTTTGCCAGCAGCACCACACAGTGAGACTGCTTCCTCTTTCCCAATCTATATTGTCATTTGCTGGGTGCTACTGATATTAAGGAATTACTGCTTTATTTGGAATAATTTGTTAGAATTCATAAGTTTTAGAGCAGAGGTTAACATATTTCAGGTTCTCTTGGAAACCCTTAAGTCCTCAGTAATGAGGGATTTTAGAGACTACTTGCAGTGAGATATGGTCCATCTGTCCCATATGGGCCCTCTTTTTAGGGTTAAAACAAAGGAAATAAAGCAAGGTTTTGTTTTTGATCCCACTTACACACAATTAGATATTCATAGAATTGACAACTGACAAATAATTTGTCCCATGTCATTCATCTAAAAAATTGTCTCCATAAAGGTTTTTATGGTCAATCCCAATAGCTTTGTAAGTAATCTTGACTCTGATGCCTCCTGTATATTAGACAAATAATCTAACTTATTTAAACCTCATTTTTCTTTATTTGTGAAATGGGAATGATTGAACCTTGGTTCACAAATTTGATTCTTTTCATGATTCTGGTCACAAACCAAGTTGGATGAGAACCAAATCAAATTTCACTGGTTAGGTTCAGTGTTGAGCTTATGGGGAAATTTGATTTGGTTCTTGTCTGGTTTGCTTTGCAACCAGGATCGTGGAGATAATTGAATTTGTGAACCCTGTGTTTAATAAGCTATAGTGAAAATAAATTAAATACTATAGGTATGGGCCGGGGATTTAGCTCAGCGGTTTCGCTGCCTGCTGTGCAAACACAAGGACCCGAGTTCGATTCCTGGTACCAAAAAAAAAAGTAACTACTATAGGAAAATTGCTTGGTGCTGTTCCGAACATACAGGAACCAGTTGTTCATTGTATGTTAATAGTGCTTGTTGGTATAAGATGTTTACTGATAGTAGAACCTGACTCTGCATTCACCACTTTTTCCTGATTTAATCATTAATTTAGTGCTTGTGAATTGGTCATTTTGCCTTTTTTCCTCTACCAGAATCTTGAAGTAGACTTTGTAGGTATTATGTCTATTTACTAGAAAAAAAATATCCTATAAAATTAGGTTGCATATTTTAATTGCTTTTTAAACATAGTTAACCCAAGAGGGAGGGAAATTATGCTTCTGGTTCATTATTTAACCCAGGAAGTATGTGCCTCCTTTGAGAGTTGGGTCTCACTAGCTCCAAAGTGAAATCTGAGTAACAATGATATGTTGTATTGTTTCCAAATACAGGCAGCTGCTAGAGACGAAATCCTTGCGAATGGAGGGAGCCTGTCACATCACCATGGAGGTATCTTATTTTGGGGGTAGAATTTTTAGTATTCCACTTCTTAAAATATTTACTTCAGGAAAATGTTGCGGAGAGTCATGATGTGAGTAATTTGAGACCCCTTGAGAGTTCCTAAACAGCTTTAGGTCTTAGAGTAGCTGTGACTGAAGTAAATAGATTGTTGTAGTAATCAACAGAAGCTTATTTGACGAGCCTACCTAAGTATGGAGCCTGGCCTCCCTTCTGAGTTCTAACCTTATGTTACTAGATAAGAGCCCAACTTGCCTGCAGGGTATTTGGCCATTAGACCACAATTTTTTTTTAAAGTTTTTTTTTTCTGTACTGGGGATCGAATTCAGGACCTTGTGCTTGCCAGGCAGGTGTGGTGTCATTGAGCTAAATCTCCAGCCCACTAGACCACATTTTTTTTTTAAGAGAGGAAAAAACTCCATAAATTATTTTCGGCTATTAATGGAATGCAGCTGGACATAAATTGTACATATATTGAAGAGCTATTTGTTCTATCCATCCAAAACTCAGCAAATTAATCAATACAGGATATGAAAAACTTTTTCTTCAAGATTTTAATTCTATTTTGTTTTACTTAATAGCCATTTGGTAAGTGTCAGGTTTTAAACCTATCAAAAAATTTATCACATCACCAATAAAAATGATTATGATACACATGAGACACATCTACCTCTGTTACTAGTAAGCTTAGGAAAGTAGTATGAGGCTATCTTTTAAAAGTTAAACAGTGACCACTCTATCGTTAAAATTGTAATTTTGAGATTATGCACCAGTTCTCTGTAACAGAAATTTGTACTTAGTATATCCCTGCATATAATTTGATGCTTAGAAAAATAGAAATGTGTAGATTCTTAAATCCTTATAAATAATTTTTAGAAAGGAACATAAAGACAAATGATTACCCAGTTTAAAAACTCAACTCCTATGCCTACCCTTCTTTTCCTATTTTATTTTCATTCATAACACTTTCTAATATGCTATATGTTGATTTTGGTTTTTTTCGGTAGCGGGGATCAAACTTATATGTTGTATTTTTAAAAGCTATCTCCTTCTACTGGAGAGTTAGAGTCCATGAGGATGAGGATTTTTATTCTGTTTATTGCTGTATACCAGAACCTGAGATACTTGGCCCAGTCAGCCTCTGTGCATGCTCGCTGACTGAATGAAAGAGTTCGATGGAAAAAGGAGTGGACAGTAGAAGACCTGTGTCCATCTAATATTCTCAGAGCGAGGCCTGGAGAATGCTAATGTGGATGTGTGTAGTAGATAATTTTCAACAGCATTATATCAGGTTAATATTTTATATCACCTTACTCTTTTGTAACCCCCACAAATAAATGTTTAGCTTTGTTAGCTGATGAACAGTAAAGTGAATGAATGTCTTTTTCCCCTTTCCTTCTTCTTTGTCCTTTCTTAACAAATGTTACAGGACAAAAATGAAGAAATGAAGAAAATGGATATTAAAAATCTCTCAAGTAAAATTAAAAACTCTTGAGTATTCTGAAAGTCTAAACCTAATTTTGGAAATTTAAATAGGTATTTCATTTAAAAACTCAGATTTTAGCTCTATTATGTTCAGAAGGCCATATAAGTTATTTAAAATCTTAATTCTATTTCAGGATGATACTATTAATATGTAAAGAACTTTAAAAAATAGTTAATATCATGAAGAATGTATATGTTCTTCATTTTAAGTTGACCGAGTGTGAGGAGGAGGCAGAATAATTTAGACATAATTACTTATTTGAAGAAAAATCAGAAACCAACTTTGCCTTTTGGTATGTGTGAAGAGTCAGCAGCACTCCTTCTCTGAAATTGGGACATGTAGATTCTGAGTTTATAATGATAAATATGAGAGAGGTCTAACTCTGGGAGATGGTAAAAATAGCTGAATCAAGTGTATAAGGAGGAAATAGACACTTAATTGTCATTTAGGTAATTGGCTATTAGATGAGCTGTTTCCTTAATTGTGGGATGATCTCAATTCACTCAAGCTTTACAGTGTCCGAAATTCTGTAGAGGCAGGAAATGACCAAGTGACCTGAAACATTGCAGAGGAAGGCCAAGCCAACAGTATTTTCTTGGCCAGTGGTTCTGAACCTCTTCAGGATCTGTGAAGATACTGAAACCAGCCTAGTAGTGGCTACAGTGAGATGCTGAAAGTGGAATATAGCTGAAGTGCTGATGTTCCTTCGTCAAGTGTACTGAGAGTTTCTTGCTGATTCTAACAGAGCCTATATAAATATACCTGAAGTAATATATCACTACAGAAAAAAAAAAGAAATACGAATTTAAGATAATAAAATTAAACACCTCTAGTACAAATTTACTTGAAATTTGGATTTTATTTACAAAAGCTATGGTGATAGTCCATTTTTTTAATCAATGCACAGAAATAGAAGTTAAAACAATAATCATTGGTAAAAATGTAAAATTTAGCTTATAATGTCATGATTATTCAGGTTTTGGTCCCAAAGTAAATGATGAAAATATTGCCCTGTGGGGTTTTTTTCTTTATTTTGTGGGTATATGTGTGAGTATTTTGAGGATTTAACACCTTGTTATTTTTGATTCAATGTATGCTAATGCCTTTTAATATTGTATGATATGTTTTCCATATTGCAAATATCCCTGGTCTGCTAAGGCCTTATGGTCCAGTAGAATAAAATATAGCATTTCGAAAGCCACTGATCAAAATGGTGGGATCGTGATAACATCACCACTTTAAGATAAGAGTCCACCCTTTTCTTTGAAAAGCACTCAGACTATGACTAATAAGCATGTAAATGCTGTAGATGCTGAAACAATGAAGAGAAGGCAGGCTGGAAGAAAAGAATTATTTACAAAGCTGTAAATGTTTGTTGGGGCTCTACATAACTTAATCTTCTTTAATCTGCTAAAAATGCAGCAGAGTAGATATTATTCCTGCCTTTCCAATAAGGATTCTGAGATACTCTCAGTGAGTGTATAATAATTGGCCCTAAAATCAGCAGTGATTTTTAGGGTAGAATTTGCATTTGAACATAGGTCCTCCTGCCTCAGTAACCTTGCCCTCTTAGCAACCAAAAATGTCAGAAATGGTTTAAATCTAAAAAGATTTGGGCTAGGGGTTTAGCTCAGTGGCACAGCGTCTGCCTCGCAAGCACGAGGTCCTGAGTTTGATACCCGGTACAAAAAAAGACAAACTAAAAAGATTGAAATTGATAGCCTTTGAAAGATATACATGATTAATTTTAGAAATATAAGAAGAAATACACAATTACTTTTTTTAAAAAATACACAGCTTTCTTTAATTTTGACATTGTCTAAATACCAACTGCACTATAGAGAAAATAGACAAACAGAAATGAACTAAATTTTAAATTGCCTCATCACAGATATTTTCATTGTTTTCTCAGTTCTTGCCCATATATCCATTTTACTTTCTAATTGTTATTATATTTCCTGGCTATAGCATCTAACATGTCGACAATATTATGAAATAAAACAAATATAGATTAGATCATGTTAAAGTCAAACCACTTGTATTGTTTAAGTGCCTTTTCAGGTTTTAGATTTAGAAGTCTTTATTTGTTAAAGATTCCAAGTTTGGTGAAATAATTTATTTTTAGAAACTAATTGGCTTGACAGTGAATGTAGCAAAGTTTGATTACATGTTAACTCTTTAAGAAGCTCTGCCCACATTTAAATATAAATCTTTTATTTCTATCCTGTTTCTTACATTTTTATTTTCCACATTGCCAAACATAGTGCATGGAAACAAATTCCAAGCTACCCGATGCTCTTTAGTACTTAGAGAAGGCAGTCAGGGCTGAATACAGTGCACACGTCAGTTGTGCGGATGCAGTGAAGATGCTTTCCCTTTCTGAGCTATTCAGGATTCATTCTGCTGTGTTCACTTGGGGGTTTTCTCAGTCCCCTGACTTCAAAGACCATCTGTCAGCTCGTATGTTCTGATGACGCCAGCTACCAAAACACATCACTCTTAACCTCCTCCTTTCAAGTCTTGTCTTCTACCTGAGCTGGTGCAGGGGCCTCCTAACTGAGCTGTCTGCTTCCACTCTGTTGCCATGTTCGCGTCTCTTGCTGCTGAAGTAATCTTAAGAAATCTATGGTTTCTTCTCACACTCAGGAATAAAACCCAGACTCCTTATCATGGCCTTCAAATGATGTATCTTTCTACCTCTCTTCCAACATCTCTGATTACTTTTTTCGCTCTAACAGCACTGGTCTTCTTGCTATTCTTCAAACCAGTTGTCTTTGCCTTCAAGGCCTATGCCAGCAGCCCCCACTCCCCAACTGCTCTTTCTCTAGTTCTTCACCCTGTATATCTGCATGGCTTACTTTCCTCCATCATTTAAGTCTCCAGTAAAAATGTCACCATCATAGAAGTGTCTTCCCTTTCTCCTTGTGCAGTTTCTGTGTTCCTCATTTAAATTCAGATCAGTGAGATCACTGTATTCTCCAGTCTCTCAACACTGACTGGCTGCTCTCCATAATTCTGTGTAATGGTTGCTCATGAACCTGTTAAGTGAGTGGTAAGTGCATGCCCAAGTGCCCCTAGAATGTGGGACTGTTTCACAAGTTTTCAGACAGCTCTGAAGTTTTCAAATTAAAATGGCAATAGTCTCATTGCTAATTTAACTTCAAACATTTAATGACTGATCCTATAGGCTCACATTTCATCATAGAAGGACTCAGTTTGTTTCATAATACTTCCGGGCAAGTATATTAGCAGAGTCAGTTATTTACAGAGCAACAAAATGAAAGAGTGTACATTTGTCTGCTGCATTACCACCATTTTATTGTTCTACCCTAGATGCTGTACATATGCAGAGTTCTGTTCAAAATTCTTTAATATAAGCTTGAGGGGCTGACAAATAGAAGAGAATATAGGCTTTGAATCAAATCTGTATTAGAGTTCTGGCTCTGCATTTAACTAGCTGTGTGACCTTAGGGAAATTTCTCTGAGCTGCAGTTGTCCTTACCTA